ATTTAGAAATAAGGGAACAAATAAAGAAAAAGAAAAAGAAAAAAAAAAAAGACAAATTAATATAAGTAAATAATATTACAAAGACTTTCGTTTTAAAGCGGAACCGGAAATGGAAATGAAAACGAAGTGAAAAGTTTTGTTTTTTTCGCGCGGGAAATTAATTGAATGAATGAATGACGCCGCGGTGGCATTTCGATCCCCCATTTGCCCCCCTCCCCCGCCGCATTTGCTCCCTCTTCCTTTTCCCATTCGAACGAAAAATGCTTTAACGGCGTATATCCTCCTCCTGAGATTCCGTTTGCCGCCATTTTTATACTCTCTGGCCCCGCCCCCACGTCCCAAGTCTCACCACACACACCCCTCCTCCTCCTCCTCCTCCTTTCTTCCCTTTTTTTTTTTTTTTTTTTAAAGTGTTTTAAGAAGGTTGAAGAAATGATCGAGAGCATGACGAGACTTGTTATCCGCATACATCGAAAACTAATTATTATTATTATTATTATTATTATTATTATTATTAATACGATTTAGAATTTAATTTACATTCCCTTTATTTTCGATAATGATAATGATGATGATGATGATGATGATGATGATGAAACATGTTTATACGTTGTATATTTTTTTTAAAATTGATTTTTCCAAAAGGAGAGAAAAATTAAAGAGAGAGAGACTGTTACGATCACTTCCTTTTTTTCTCGTCTTATTATTTTGTAATTAATAATAATAATAATAATAATTGTATAAGGTGCGATGATAATAATGATAATGATAATAATAATATTAATTTTTTTCAAAAGGATTCAAATAGAGTGAAAAATTTTCGTATGGAAATGCCTCCACGATCTATATAATTACGATTAAGATAACGATGGTGGTGTTATAATTAATAATAATAATAATAATAATGATAATGATAATAATGATAATATGTAAAACGGATTGGTTTTTTATTTGTTTGTTTTTAATCTAGTCTAATTAAATAAAAGGAAACGAAAAAAAAAGTAAAAAAGTGTCGACCATAAAATTTATCTTTGTATAAATGGAATAAATAAATAAAATTAGCAATAATAATAATAATGATTTCGTTGTGAGGGGAGAGGAGGGGGTGGGGGTGGGGAAACTCTCGCACACACAAAAACGAATCCGGGAAAAATGTTTTCAAATTAAAGATGATGATGATGATGATGATGATAAAAGGAACAATTTACAAAAAAAAAAAAAATTATTATTAAACTCAGTGAATTTTATTATTATTTTTTAATTGAATAAAAAAAAAAAAAATAAACATGCCTTAATGAAAATAATAATAATAAGTATAATGTTAATTATAATATTAATAATAATGATAATATTTGAGAGAGAGAGAGAGAGAAAAGGGCAATAAAATAAATGATTGAATGATTAATTATATTATTTACTTTAAATATTATTATTATTATTTTAAAATGTGATCGTCTTTTGCGTGTGTGCGTGTTATTATTATTATTTAAAATTTTTAATAATAATAATAATAATAATAATAATAATGATTATAATATATATATTAATAAAATTACACAAATTCAAAATTATTTTTTTAGTATATATATAAATTTTTTTTCACATTAAGTTTGATTAATTGTCGTATTTGTGAATGTAGATTTGTGGTATGTATGTTTACTTATTATTATTATTATTATTATTACTGCTGCTGATGCTGCTGCTGTTGCTGTTGCTACTACCGATGATTTAAATTTAGTTTTTTTTTTTTTTTTAAATTAAAAGATTTTAACAAATGGGAAAAAAAGGCTGCCTAACGTTTTTTTCAAAAGGTTATTTGATTTTTTTTTATAAATAAAATTAATTGTAAATATTTATATAGTAACAATAATGATGATGATGATGATGATGAGAATAGTAATAATAATAGTAATAATAATAATAATAAAAGTAAAAGTGGGAATTAATTAATTATTGGATTAACAGAAAGGGAATAAGTAAGTGAAAAGTTAAAAAATAAAACGGATTTTCCATTGTTGTTCAGTTTGTTCAGTTTGTTCAGCACTTAAAAGGATTTAACAAATAATAATAATAATAATAGTAAATTATAAACATTTTAAAGTGCCATTTATTTAGAGCAAATATTAATAATAATAATAATAATGAATAAAACTATTACTATTATTATTCAAACGACAATCTAAAAATAACATTAAAATAATATATAAATAATTCGTGTGGAAAAAAAAACATTACAATTATTATTATTATTGCTATCATTATTATTATCATTATTATCATTATTATCATTCGCGAGAATATATATATTTTTAAGAGAGAGAGAGAGAGAAATTTTTTTATAAATTTAACTCGGTTTCTTTTTTTTTTTAAATTTTCATTTGATTCCTTTGTCGTTCAAATTAAAAAAAAAATATAATATTTTTAATAATAATAATAATAAAGTTTAAAATTATTATTATTATTGTTTAAGTTAATAAAAAATTATGTATAAAAAAAAAAACAATTAAAATATA